TGGCGCCCGCAGCAGCCCCGAGGCACCGGGCCTACTGGCGCCTGTGGGAGACGCGGCCGAACCCACCCCTGTAGGGCCCGCTGTCACCTATGGGGAACCCTGACGGACCCTCCCCCGGCACCCGCTGTCACCTATAGGGAACCCTGACGGACCCTCCCCCTGGGACCCACTGTCACCTATGGGAAACCCTGCTGTCACCTATAGGGAACCCTGATGGACCCTCCCCCGGCACCTGCTGTCACCTCTAGGGAACCCTGATGGACCCTCCCCGGCACCTGCTGTCACCTATGGGAAACCCTGCTGACACCCCTATAGGGCCCACTGTCACCTATAGGGAACCCTGATGGACCCTCACCCCTGGGACCCACTGTCACCTATGGGAAACCCTGCTGTCACCTATAGGAAACCCTGATGGACCCTCCCCTGGCACCTACTGTCACCTATGGGAAACCCTGCTGTCACCTGTAGGGAACCCTGATGGACCCTCCCCTGGCACCTACTGTCACCTATGGGAAACTCTGCTGTCACTTATAGGAAACCCTCCCCCTGGGACCTACTGTCATATGGGAAGCCCTGCTGTCACCTGTGGGAAACCCTGGCAGATACCTCTAAGGGTCTCGCTGTCACCTATAAGAAACCCTGCTGACTCACTCCTATAGGACCTCCCGTCACCTGTGGGGAGCCTGCTGGAGGGAATGCTGCTGTCCTATATAACCAGCACATCCCAACAGGAAACCCACCCTATAGGGCCTGCTCTCACCTATTATTAAAAAATAATCCAGCCACCAAGCCAGGAAGCCTGAAATTATTCCTCTCCCCTTAATTGGTTTAGCGGTGGACTTGGCAGTGTAGGTTAATGGTTGGACTTAGATCTTAGAGGTCTTTGCCAACCTCAACGATTCTGTGGGAAACCCTGCTGGACTCACCCCTATAGGAGCAGCTCGTCGCTGTAGGAATCCCTCTTAGACTCACCCTTCAGGGCTTGCCATCAGCTATAGGATCCAAACTCCCATCAGCAACGCCTTGGGGCTCCCCTTCTCCTCCCCCAGACCCCGGGGGGGGTGCTGGACCCTGCAGCCCCGCCCAGCTCTGCCTTCCTGCGCCGGGGCTCGAGCTGAAGCCAAATCCCACCTGACTCGCGTGGATTCCTGGTGCTGGGGAGGGTGGGGGCATCACCAGGTCCGCCCGGGCAGCATGGGGCCACGTCAGGGGTGCAGGCACCCCCACACCCAGCCTTACCCAGCCCCGAGGACGGAGGGTGCCAGGAGGCAGGCGAGGCCATCCTGTGGCTGCCTGACATTCATAGAAACGTTTAATAATAAATAATTTCATGTTTCGTGGCTTGGTCAGTTCCCTGACACTTCAGCTCTCTACAGACAAACCTACAGGAAACAAGACAAACTGGGGCACTAAGGAGAATAAACCTGGGGGATTTTCCTTTTTGGTTTGATCTATACAAAAAGACCCCCGCCCCCAAGTGAGACTGTGGAGCAAACACAGCTGCTGCGGTTGCCTTTGGGCCCAAAGGACAGCAGGCTGCAAAGCTGCTGCCTGGATTCTGTGCCGGTCACCTGTAGCCTGCAAGTCTGTGCCACATACCTGCTCCTCTTCCCTGTGCAGCTGCGTGTGCGGTGTGTGTTGGAGGTTAGCACAATTTCATGTAAAAAATGGCAAATCTTCCATTTTAGTGCTTGTATGTGATAGGAGAACATTCAGGTTATTCTGTCTTGGGTAACTGGGCAGGTCCTTCCTTTTCACGCCCAGACAGGAGGGGGGAAAATACACAGAAACAGATGTTACCTCTTCTCCAGGCTCTGTGAGCATCGCCCCATTTCTCAAAATAAGCCTGTGGAAGCCAGTCTAGTTACATCACTACAAAGTGATCGCGTAAGCCAACACTTCAACAAGCTGATGTCTCTTTTGCCGTCGTCCCTCCCCTTCTTTTCCGTCTCCTCCTCCTGTCTTTTTCTGTTTTGTCATCTGAAGCTTTGAATCTCAGCTTCAGTCCAGCAAATGCTTTTCACGCCTGTGTGTGGTTTCCAGGGCATGGCAGGAAAACATCTCCCTGAAGGAACTGCAGCGCAGAGGCGTCTGCTTGCTAAAACTCCAAGCTGCCAACCAGAGAACCGGCCTCTACGGACGGCTGCTCGTGACGTTTCAGCCTAGAAAATATGATTCAGACGCCGAGCTGCCCTATAACAGTTTCGGGCCTGGTAAGTGATA